AACCTCTACCCTCCCAATCCCCCAGTACAGTCATAATTAAAATTCAGTTTTTCTGAATACTTAGGTTAGGATACATTTTCTTAACCCAGCCTTTAAATAAACACTCAAATGAAAGGATAATTTGGTTTCTCCTATCCCACTTCAAACTACTTTTTAAGAGTAAAATAAATGTCCACTACTCTAGTATTGCTTCCATGGGCTCTTGCTTAAAGTTAGGAAAACTCCTTAGTCCTCTGCTACTCTAAATGTAGACAGTAATATTGCATTCATACAGGTGACAAATGATACTTTCTCATTTAACAAAGTACACTGAAATGCTTAACTCAAGCATTTAAAAGATTTCTATAGTAAATTTGGATTGACCTCAGTTTGGGAACAATGACAATTTGGATTCTTCCCCATCTCTAAGACCCTGTACATTTATTTTTGTGGGAATACACTTTTATTTCTGCGGGAATAGTTGAACTCATGCAAAATATGGGAGATGTGAACATATATGAGATTATTCTGTTTTTCATACTTGATTAACTATATTCTTAATTTTGAGGGTCCTTTAATCCCCATTCTCTCTCACAGGAAACTAATTTTCCCTCCTCCTTCAACTAAATCTGAGTATCTATAGAATACAATTGCTTTACCAATGGTCAGCTAAAGTGTCTTGTTAACAATGTTCATAAAAGGGACACTTTCAGTCTCATGAGCACTTCCTTATAAACCACACAGTTGCAAAATTCTTGAGATTTTGAAATGGGTGGGGAAGGGAACAGGGGACTTGCAAAAAAAAGATCTCTTCTAATTAAAATGATTGGGTTTTTACAAAACTGGCTGGTCAAAAAAGAAAATCCAAAAACCCCTTTCTAGAACAGAATGAAAGGACAAGGATTTAAATTTGTAAAGATAAATCTGTATAGATAAGTAATGAGAAGGGTAGTCCATGAATAGGGCTTAATCATCACAGACTGTACCAAAACAGAAGTTGTTGTTTATGATACAGGGATTTTAAGTCCAGCAGCATTTCTAGAAACATATTCTAACCAATTAATTTTGAATATGGGCAAAGGTTTAGCTACAGAATTATTCATTAAAGCTAGTATATTCATTTATACTAGCAAAACTTTGGAAATAACTAAAATACTCCATTGGGATTGATTAAATGTTGTTCTGTCAATATGATACATATTTAATATGTAGACATTAAAAATGATACTTCGGAAGATTACTTAATCATATGGAAACATGTCTTAAACAAATCATTAAGTGAAAAAACAGATCTCAATTCTGAATGCCCACTAAGACTACTTGTGGCAAATTTCAAGAAATAAAATAAATACATGTGCACACACATACACATACTGATAGATATACCCAACACATACAAATACACACATAATATGCATAGAAAAAAAAAGACTGAACATTTATATACAACAAATTGTTAACATTTGGTAATTACCTCTAAGAGATTTTTTTCTTTTTTTCTGATTTATCTAAATTTTCTAAAATTTTGTCAGTTTTATAAGGACAAAACAATCGGCATTTTATATGTGTACATGATTATTAAAAGATCATTAGGTGATATATATATATGAAACTTAATCAATCTTTAGATCTTGAAGCCATACGGGTAAAAAAAAACACAGATATGTTCAGAGTTAGATTAATTGAAATACATTCATGGTTAACGACTCCATAAAAACTAAGAAATGTTTGCTTACTTAAGAATGTCTCAAAAGTGTTTGAAGTTGCTATCATAGATTCAGCAATATACTTTCAAAAAACCCTGTAAACAACGCAGAGGGAGAGAACAGGAACTGAGACATGAAAGGGACATAGAAATTGGTGTCACTCTTTTAGACTGGAAAAAAGACTAAATGGATTATCACTCTGATGAATAGCACATTTCTAATGTTCTCCTGTTTCAAACACTCCACTAATTCACATATCTGACACTGATTATGCACAAAGCTCTATAACAGTCAAACAACACCTGAGAGTTTGTCATGTTCTAAGGTATTCCATTTTTCCACTTATTTGTACCAAAGGACTCCAGAGATGGGCAGGCCACCCTTGTGTTTTATTTTCCTCCTTACTTCATCCAGCTATACTTCTTGTGCTTGTCCTTATAATTTTACTCAAAACACACTCTGGCTACCAGTAACCTTACCTTGGGTAAATACTGTGATTTGAAAAAAAAGTTTTCAATTCATCTTGACCTCTCTTCGAAAACAGAATTAATCACTGGGGCAAGATTGTCCCAATTTGTCTTACACACTTTTCTTTTTCTCTTTCTTTTAGTTAGAGATTGAGGTTCTAGTCTTTTCTTTGCCACTAAGATCTGTAAGATCTTGGGCAAGACACTTTGTCCTAGTCAGGCACAACTGCTGTGTGTGAAAGCACTATACAGATTGCAAAGCATTTAAAAATATGATTATTGAACTAGATGATTTCTAAATTACATTCAAGATCTAAAATATTTATTCTATACTTTAAATTATATTTTTGGTGAATTCATCTGATCCAGGAGTCGGGAATGGCATTTTGGCACATTTTAGAAGATGCCTTCTGTTACACTAAAGCTGCTGCTGACTCAAAAGTACAAGAATGATTCATAACTAAAATAGCACCCAAAACAGGTAATCCTTCAATTACTGAGGCTGAAAGTTACTACAGATAATACATGATTTTAAGGAGAAAGCTGAATTCATAGCCAATGCCTAAAAACTTCATTTCCTACATCAAAAAACCCCCCAACTATTGCCCTTCTTAAATCTGATAAATTTAAATATTATGATGGAATCAACTGAATCACATTTTAAAAGATTACAAAAACTCATACAGCATTTTAGTACATTTTGCTGGATATTGTCAATGCTGGAATACTGACTACAGCAAGCAGGAAACAAATGAAACACGCCAAATATACACATAAAATCAAAGACTCTCAGAGTTGAAAGGGCTTCTAAAAGTTATTTAGACTAGTAAGTCCCAAAGTATGGCATTTCAAAAGCTTACAAAATATGGGGAGAAAAAAAGGCAGACATAAAGCATCAACTTCTAATTTTGCCAAACAAGGACATCAATAAAACCACCATCCACCATTAGGACCATTTTATAAAAGGACACTTTAACAACACACATGTAGGAAGATATAATCTCAGAATAAAGTATAATTTGAAATTAGATAAATTAAAGAAAAAAAGCATTATACTGCAGTTTTGTAGTATTTCATGGGAAAACTTTGTTAGACTTGTCCACTGTCCACACACGGACCTCTGGGAAGCCCTAATCTAGTCCACACCATGCACATAGCCCACTGTTACCCTCAGCCCCCAGTTGAGCATATATATCCTCACTACATCCAAAAAAAAAAAATCCCTTTAAAATGTATACCCCATGGAGAATTTCTTAGGCTGAGGAATCCATTAAAATTTGGATGGCTGTGGTAGAAAATCAGCAGAATAGAAGCTATCTCTGGGAACTTATAAACTTCAAGAGGATTACACTTGACTTTTTTTTTTAAAGAACAAAATTTAACAGAAGAGAATTTGAAGTAAGCCAGACATGCTTTCGAGTCACCAAAGGAGAATGTCTAACAGTGCTGACTTGTAAGTCAGGCAGCCTGGGTTTTGATAGTGCCTCAAAATTTCAAACCTTCAAGCTAAATCTTAGAGCAATTCTCTTTTCCTGTTTTCAAATTCAAGACTTTTAGGTTAGAGCTTTATGAATACAAACATTTAAGTTAAAAATAGAGTAGTAACATAAAGGAATTCTAGTTATCTTCCAGGATGAACCCCATTACTATCTGATCAGCTTTCAGTGGCAGTTAAGCCTGTAGGTTTTTTTCTGTTTCAGTGAAATTATTTTATTTGGGGTGGATTTTTTATTTAAATTTTGACTACTGAGGCTGTGACTTATTCATCAGGGTTTGATTCATATTGCAGGTGACGATGAATACGGAGCTTCCTTTTGTGATCATCATTACTAAGCCCAACTTTTCCAGGTGAAATTTTGTAAACCAAAATGTGGTCAAGATTTGACTCTTTAATCAATTTTTAGTAAAAAAAAAAATTTACTGTGTAAAGTTTTAAACGTTGTCATTTTTATTTTGTAATAGTTGTTTCTACTCTTACGTTTTTAGGGTCAAAACTGCAGTTTTCAACACTACTAAGATAGGATTTTTCAAGGATTTTTTGGGGGGGAGGATAACAACTTTCATTATGTGCAGTTTTTTCACGACTGTAGGCCTTATTTCCTGTTGACTATATATATGCGCCACTAACATTATAACTCGGATATTGTTTTCTTTGGGGATCAAGTATCATCAGTAGGGACACAACACAAAGACAGAGCAACAGGGTTAATTCCTGCTTTCCCTCTTTTCCCCTCCTGTAGAAAGAGGGACCCTAGCACTCCATAAAGCGCAGAACTCTAAAATTAAGACTAAGTAACTAGACTCCGCTTAAAACAGGGGGCCCTAAACAAACGCAGCCCACATAGGACTGCTTTTCGTTTTCTCTCCACCAGAGGCGACAGCCTCGTTCAAAACAGAAATGGGCTGTAATAGGCCGGTTGGGGGGGTCGCCCAGTAAAGATCAAAATGTTAAAAACCGCCTCAAACAAAGAGCAAAGGTCAATACCCGACTCCCAAGGAGGCCTGACGCTTCCAACCTCCACGAAAAATGAAGGTGACTCCTCCCTAACATGCTCTCGAGGCCTGAGGCCGCGCAGCCTCTCAGAAACCGGACCGGTCTGAAGTGACTAACAGGTAGTTAACCGTGGTACAACCGACGACCGGAAGTGGAAATGAGCCCGGGGCGGGGGTGAGGAGAGGCCACCGCACGCCTGTGCAGTCCGCAGGGTTACAGTACGCATGCGCATTTGGGCGGTGACGGGGTGACGCTCGGAGCGTGGGCCGCGACTCTCACGGATCCGGTTCCGCCCTCCCTGTTGCTGTCGACCCTCCGGGGCTAGCGCCCGCGATCCTTTTCCCAGAGTGCTCTGCGCCGTGAAGAAGCGGCTCCCGGGGACTGGGGGCATTTTGTGTTGGCTGGAGCCGGAGTAACAAGATGGCGGCGTCGGCGGAGTGACAGGGGTCTCTCCGGGCGGGAGCCGGCGGCAGTGGTGGCAGCGGTATCGCCGCCCTAACTCACCGCGCCTCTTTTCCAGCCCGCGACGTCGCCGCGAAAACGAGGCAGCGGCGTCCGCCGAGAAAGAAGTGGCCTAGACTGGTAACCGTCAGAACCCCCTCAACAATCTGCGGCCTGGCAAAAAGAAACCTGACAGCGGCGGTGATCAGGTTCCGTTTGGCCGATCCTAGTCCCTGTAGCGCCGAGAAAGCCAACGTTTTCCATTTCCGGCCGCCCTCAGCAGCCTTGCTCGGTGGACGAGCTCTAGCGGCCTTCGTCCTCCCCTTAGAGGTGTCGGGGCTTAGCCCCAGCCTCCATCTTCGTCTCTCAGGATGGCGAGCAGCAGCGGCTCCAAGGCCGAATTCATTGTCGGAGGAAAATATAAACTGGTACGGAAGATCGGGTCTGGCTCCTTCGGGGACATTTACCTGGCGATCAACATCACCAACGGCGAGGTAACCACCTGGGGTGGGGTTCACGACAACGCCGCGCCTGTCCTCACCGCCCCCCACCCCCATCCCCAAACTGTTCGGGCCTTTTCCCACCGCACGCATGCACCCAGAAGTCCAGAGGGAGCCAGTTTTCCTGGCTTAGGAACCTCCTCCCCTCTCTTTCCCTTTTAGGGAAAGAATCCGAGAGAAAGGTTGGGTATACTGTGAAGTTTCCCAGCTTGTTAAAAATATACCTTAATCGAACTTTTTAAACCGTCGTTTAAGGTGGTGACGGCAAAATCCTATTTCTCTGATCCCAGTGTTTTTCTTTATATATTCTTTAATTCTACTGGGGTTTTTGTTTCAGTTAGGGCAGCTTCCGATCGCCTGGCTCCTTCATTAACCTCTCATTACGTTTTCTGGATGAATCCTTTTCCTGCATTTTAGAGGACGTGCCGCTTTCGTCACTACCCCCTGAAGAGGACTTTGAGGCTGGTTGCTTCGTTTTATAATTACAAAGAGACCTTTCTCTTCCCAGCCTCTCGCTTCCACCTTATAGTCGCGAGTAGGAGCTTCACTAATGTCTCCCCCTCCTTTCCCAAGTGACATTGAATCCATAGGGATGTTGATGCCATCATCCCCTCTTTCCCCTGCAGGAAGTGGCAGTGAAGCTAGAATCTCAGAAGGCCAGGCATCCCCAGTTGCTGTACGAGAGCAAACTCTATAAGATTCTTCAAGGTGGGGTCGGCATCCCCCACATACGGTAAGAATCCATAAGCAAATTGACGATCCTCTGAGGGAAGTGGGGGAGATGTGTAAGAGGCCGCTAATACGACCAGCTCAATCGGCTCTTGACATTTGAGTTAACCTGGGTTTCCTAAGAACCGTAAGTCATCACAATCAGAGTAAATTTTGGTTTGCCAACTTAGTTTAGAATTTCAGTTTGTTACTTTCTCCTCCATTTAGCGTCCATCATTCTTCCTGAGGTTTTCATTTGCAGTTTAGTGTGCGGGTCATCTTTGATCCCAACGCGGAAGCGTTGCCCGCGGCTTGTTTTACGTGGACACCTCTGATGTTCTTGGTTTTGTCCAGTGAAGTGGATTTGAAGGTGCCGAAGTGACCGGGCTCGGCCAGTTCGGGTTGCTATTGGAGCTGGCTTGGGAAATGGCTGCTCTTTTGTTGTGTTTTTGTTCCAACATGTCTTCCTCCTCCGCTTAGAAAATGGCGGAACGACGTGACTCAACCACATATTCCTACCCTTTTCTCTGCTTAGGTTCATAAGTTATGCTTCTTTGATTCCCTCTTTAGCCTTGAGTGACTGAACCTTTGAAAAGCCAAGAATAAAGCTGCAGGCAGCGGTGGGGTTCAAGGATGGAGATGGCATAATGACAGTCTGTGATCTCTGCAGCAGATGCGATGTGAAATTAAGTTATACTATGCAAAATACTTCATAGTCCTTTCAAAAGTGTTACTCTTTTGAGAATAATAATATTGGCTACTTTTCAGTCTGTACTAAATTTTTATAGGTAATGGCAAAGGCAGTTGGAGCAGCACTATTTTGAAATTGATACTCAGTTGTATTAAAAGAGAACTTAATCATGTAACCACAGTTTGATCTGTAACTTTAACCTGTTGAGTTAACTTCCTCAGTAATTGCTCACATTTAGAATATTGAGGCCTCTTTTGGAGATGGGACATTGGTGAAGGCAAATAGTAACAGTAATGAGAATAAAAGATGACCAGATGAAGACATTGGGTTCTTTTAAATGATTAAAGGATTTTTAGAATAGTTTGACTTTTGAGATTGAAGAGTCTCTTCCTAAAATAGACTAAAATATAGGTGGAAACCCAGCCATTTTCCAACAATTAATCAAAAATAAATTTTGCAAAAAGATGCAGAGACAGTTGAGAATTAACTGGAATGGTATTTACTGTAGCTTATTCCTGCCTGTGTTCCTCAAATCTTGAATTATGGACTGGATTATATTACGTTAATTCTGATGTGAAAAAAACCAAAGTAACACTATTCTTAAAAAATTTCCAATGCTCATAGACGTTTTTAATGAAGAAGTTAAATAATACATCTTTTATTGGTTGGAAGTGATAACAAATTATTTGAAAGGAAATTCCAGGTGTATCCCATGAGGTAAAAACTAACGTGAATTCTGAGATGATCCAATTTGATTTTTAATGATTTTTCATCCCTTAAGAGAAAAAACTGCTGTGTGGGAAATTAATTTGTGATTGTGGAAGAATGAAAATCTTGTTTAAAATATCTTGCTTTTCTCTTCACAAGATAAAAACATGTCAGTTGCATTAGTCTAAAATTAAAATTCCTTTGCGTTTAATTTCATCTCTTCACCCTGGCCACCACTGATTTGCTTTCCATCACTAGGTTTTCCTAGAATTACATGTAAATGCAATCATAAAGTATGAGGTCTTTTGTGTCTGGCTTCTCTAACTTAGCATAATGCTTTTGAGATTCATCCACGGTCAGGGGTTTTCTAAATTTCACTGATCAGATTGAATTTAATATATCTGAAATCATTTTCAAAAAGCATTAACCATCTGGCATTTTCACTGCTAAACCCAAATTAAATACACGCACCTTTATCTGGTAGATTTTATTTAAGGGCAACTGATATACACCAACAGAGGGTAGCAATAGTTAATATACTGTATAAGCACATATATTAATGAAATTAACTTGTGAGCAAAATTGTAAAATATTAAATGCAGAGAGTTGTGGTTTTAAGCTGTGGGTGGAGCTAAGAAGAGATTAACCTGACTGTCTAGTTAAGGCTTCTAGGGAGAGGAGATGGGATTTCAGGATCTGGCTCTAAGGAAGATAGCTTGGTGAACTGGTTGGGGAAGACATCCAGGAGTAGAATGTGGCTTCTGGGAGTAGTCTCCAAGACAGAATGTAGTAATTGGATAAAGGTGGGGGAAAAGTAAATTTGTTTTAGGAGTGGTATAGTCCCAGGACGAAACAAAGGTGGGTCATTGGTATTAAAATAAAGTGTGAGAATTGTTTTTCCGCTGAAGTAGAGAAAATAAAAAAGACTTGTAAAAGCTCTCTTTATTTGAGGTAGTAACATCTTCCTCTCAGCTCAGTTTGTTCCTCACTATTTCCACATCAACTATATACAGTATACACTCAATAAACATTTACTTGGTAAGCATTGCATAAAATTGACTCTTTAGTTAGATTAAATAAGGCAGTGTATTACCCAGAGCGTTGGAAATGTTGACAGTAAATTTAAAGTTTTAGATTTTGCTGTATGTACGCCTCATATCCACCTCCTCCCCCAATCAACCCTCCCTACCACCATTTTCTTAAAGATACTATGAGATACCTGAAAACAATGGCTGAAAATTACCTGGCATGTGTAGCATACCTCCCATATCAGATCCTTAGTAAATGAGGACCTTACTAAGGGATCTGTTGTTACACAGAAGCGTAGCATCCAGTGTAAAGAGCAAGAATGAGAGGATGGCATTCAGTCTCTTGATATTTTTAAGAAACTAAAAGACCTTAGGCTTGTGAATTAACATCTGGGAGCTCTTTTAAAATTTCTATTACAACCCTCCCTTTCTTTGTGTCACTTTGAAGTGAATTAAATTGTTCTCTAAAGAAGCATTTCTGTTATAACCAAGCTCTAAATCTGCCATGTGGTTTTGACTATGTGATCTGGGGTCAGTCAGCCCCTTAACCTCTTTGGGCATATCAGTTTCCTTATCTTTGAAATAAAAAGAGGATTTTACCAAGTTGGTAATTTTCTAATTTTATTGGAGTAGGAAAGGAGAATGCTGGACAGAAAAGTTTAGGATTTCCTTTTCTTCTGCTGGAAAAAGTTTCGCATGCTGAGCTTTTGGGTAGGATTTTGTTTGATCAAGTTTCCCTAGTTACATAAGTCACTGGCCTCGTTGATCTTAGAACTTCCAGCTTTGAATCTTAAGATTTGTTTTCAGATGATCGTAGCTAGAAAGTATTTCATCATAGTTTGATGTTTTGTCTAGATCTTACTGTTGAATGTTATTTTAGTAGTGAGATACCACTCAGGACCTTAAAAATGCTGTCTCCAATGGATAAATGGGCTACCAGTTAGGAGGAAGTAAATTAATGGAATATATTTTTAGAGGAAAACATGAATAAAGAAGATGAGATGGCATAGGAGAATTTTTGTTCCCTTGTTTATTTAACCACTTTTTCTTTTTTGCCCTGTCTGAAGGTCAAATATTCTAGGAGATAAAAAGTACTAGTTAATCCTTACTCTTCAGTGTTAAAAGCAGCTTAAATTTTAATCTTACCTTTTGGCACTGAGCGTATATCCTGTAAATTAAGTTCTCATGCTGTTATCAGAGAAGAAAGATGACATCTACATTAGGTATGTTGTTATTTGAGAGGTAATATTACAGATCATTGGATACATGAGAAACACGATTTTAATTCATAGAGCATACTAAAGGTACTTATTTTGTCTTGTGCAGGATTTCTAGTAATGTAATAATGTGATGGTGTTTAGATAGCATTTTGAGCTTTGTGAAACCTGAGAGATGACAGCCCAACACCTCATGATACAAATTAGACTATTAAGTGTCAGAGGAGTTTCTAGAAGTCTCCTAACTCCCAATTTTCCTGTGAGCCATTTTCACCTTTATGTCAAGGTCAAATTATGTCTACTCACAATACCCTACAGCTTTTTATTTGATATTGCAGAGCCATATTTTGCCTCCTTTACTTTTATGGCATTTGGTGTCATACAAAGAAACTGATCCTTGTAAGTAAGCTATTGTTTGTATTATATTTAATTAGATGCTTATAATTCTTACTCTCCCTTTTGAATCCATGGATTGCCGGATGAGAACTTTTGTTGGACATTATTTGTGTTTAAAATTGAGTAAATACTTGTAAACCATTCTATATAGTGCATGGATTTTACTATCTTGGCATTGGTCATTTTTATAGCTAGGTCTTTTTGTTTCAGAGAATACTTAAGCTATACCTAAAGTCTCTTTTAGTAAGGCTTTCTCATGATAGGTCATACTTAGTAAGGAAATTTAATGTCAAGAGGTCTATACAAGAGAAAACTAGAATTTGAAGCAAATGTTATAAATTTAATTAAGCTTATTCTGTTATATTCTTAACATCAGCCCTTGAGTTTTAACAAATTTTCTTGAGTTAAATGAGTACCTTAATAGCTTTCATAGTATAAATGAATACTTAGTTTAAATGATGCTTTTTGTCACTGTTTTTGTTTCCAGTACAATTTCAGGTGGCTCTTGAAATTGTGAATGACTAGAAATAACATTCTGAATGACTAGTACATTAACAGAGGCTGATGCCTGTCTTAATGGGATTTTTTTTATGAGATGTAATTTTCATACAGTAGAGTATATAGATGAATGTGCCATTGAATCAGTTTTGACAAATGGGTTTACTGGTGTAACTCACACTCCCTGTTGACATAAAAGAATGTTTGATTTTTTTTTTTTAGTGCTGCTAATCCTTGATAAGATACATTCCGTGACAGTATAGGTTTTATATATATATGTATAAAAGTTGATCTTTTGAATCATAGTTATATATTATTTTTCTTTGATGTTGATTTGGCTGTATGTAAGACTATAAGTTAGTACTCTTATCACCATGAACTATACTAGAACTTACCTAATAAAATGATCAGGTGAGAATGGTGAATACTCAGTGGTGATTGTTATCTTTACCTTATTTTCTTTTTTTAGAATACTGCCTTTTCCTTG